AGACTTCAAATTTAAGTTACATGCGTAATGGCAAATTTGTGAGTTCACAGTTTATCAAACGTGTTCTAAAAATACAACTCTTTACATAAAAGAACAATTTCACAACAAAAAGGTGATACATCTGTAAAAACAGAAGCCAAAATGCCGCTTCTAACTTGAGAGAAATCTCAGGAAATCAGAGTTCCACCATGAGTCCAACATACTTGTTGTCTAAGGGAAATTTGAGCTAGGAGACTGCAGGATAGAAGATTCGCCCCTGTTGTCCAGCTCATTCTGTAGCCTGGTGAGATTAGAAAGCTCCTCCAGCTCCTGAAACTGTCTGTCCGTCTTGTGGCTGACCAGTGAGCGGTAGAAATGCACAGCAAAGACTATGAAGACTAAACCAAAGGGAACCATGATGGAGGTGGACGTGATCGCAGCAGCCACACCGGACGAAACTGTGCTGTTGCTGGACTTGTTAGGGCCCGAGCCAGCTGCAGAGCAGCCGGGCGTAGAGTCCTATTATTCCTGTATGGGTTCTTCTTTCTTCTTTCTTTCTTTCTTCTTATTTTTCCTCCCCTTTGAAGGGGAAAATGGCCCACTTCCCACTGGCGAAAACTCATGAAATTTGGCAGGACGACCGGGCCTGGTGAAAAATTCGATATTCTGAAGTCGCCGAAAAAATAATATGCAAAATGGCTCCATAGCGCCCCCTAAGGTGAAAATTCACACTATCGAGTGTCACGCCTGTACGCTTTGTCATATTGACACAAAAATTGACACACACATGTATCTCAATAAGATCTACAAAAAAGTCAGGGCGGGCGTATCTGTCAAATGTACGGTTAAAGGGCTATTTCGCATTTTTTGCCGATCCGCACACATTGGAATTTCGCTAACTCCTCCTAAGGCTTTCGTTCCACCGGCACCACATTTGCTCAGGCCAATCTACACCCCATGGCCATTAAAAGTTATTCAAATCATGACGCTGCACCCCACGGTTTAGGTTCTAGGGGGCGCCAAAAATAACCCTAAAATCCACATATTTAAAAGTCTTATAACTTTTTATTTTTGCCCTCACTGGCCTCCAAGTTTTCTAGGATGATGCAATGTCCAGCCATCAACACATTTGTGAAGGAATTTTTACTCCCCAAAAGAGCGCCCCCCATGGCAGGAGAAAAAGTCAAGTTTTTCCTGCCCATCGCTCAATGGCTCAAACGCATCGCTCTCTCGGCAAAACCGAAAGGAGGAGCAACTTGCCATTTGGATATATACTAGCTGTGTTTGTGCCCTCACTCATGGTCCAGACTTTTTTCAAAAAGGACATGGAGTTTGTCTGCAGCGAGCGTTTTGGTAGAAACTGCGCCTCCCATTCATTATAATGGTAAATGACCACAGACAAGTGCGCGCACCATCTTTGGACCTTGAGTGTGACGCAATCGGGAGGGGTAGGCAGTCGCGCTGGGGGCGGCGCGACACGGCTCGGGCCCGCCAGTGCCCCACCGGGGCCCTAGTTTTCTCTTTTTTCTGCCTGTTTTAAGGGTTTTCGACCTAGGCTCCCTCTCACCCTACCTTAAAGAGGTCGTCACTAATCTGGGAGTTAAATTTGACCCTGATTTTAAATTTGACAAGCAGATCAGCGGGGTGGTACAAAAAAGTTTTTATCAGCTACGCCAAATAGCGAAGGTGAAGCCCATTTTATCAAGACCTGACCTGGAAAAATTAATCCATGCTTTTATCACTACCCGTCTTGATTACTGCAACTCCTTGTACGTAGGGATTAGCCAGGCTTCCCTTGCCCGCCTGCAGCTTATGCAGAACTCTGCTGCACGTCTCCTGACACAGACCCGCAGGCGTGAGCACATCACCCCCATCCTGGCGTCCTTACACTGGCTCCCTGTTCAGTACAGAATTCATTTTAAGCTTTTAGCATTTGTTTTTAAGGGCCTGAACAACCTTGCTCCACCCTATATTTCGGAGATGCTACAGCCTTATTGCCCACCCCGACCCCTAAGATCAGCTGATCAGCTTTTACTGACCGTCCCCAGTACAAGGCTGAAGCTCAGAGGGGACAGAGCATTTGCCGCTGCTGCCCCTAAGCTCTGGAATGAGTTGCCCTTGAAAATTAGACAGGCCTCCTCATTTTCTGTTTTTAAATCCCTTTTAAAAACGTACTTTTACTCATTGGCTTTTAGTACATTGTAGTGTTAATTTGTTTTTTATCATCTTAGCACTTGCCGTGAGCCTCCTTATTTATACACTTATTTATTCTTTTGCATTACTGTATTTCTGCTTGCTTTATCTGGTTCTTTGATTGTTTTATTTGTTTTTATGTGTCACTGTACAGCACTTTGGCTACCCTTGTGGTTCTTTTAAATGTGCTATAGAAATAAAGTTGATTGATTGATTGATTTTTTTTTTTTTTGGGTTTTCTTTATTTATTTTTTTTTTTTGAGATCTCTTTTTGAAGAGTTTTTTTTTTTTTTTAAAGTACTTCCTTACTTCGAGGAAGTTACTTCTTCTTCCACTTCTCAGGCTTTCTTAACCCCAAGAAGTGTCTTGTTTGTTTCCAGACTGAAGAAGGTGGTTTGGTGGCATTAGAGGTTGGTGTCTCTGCTGGTCCTGCTGTTCCAACTAGTTCTGGAGATCCAGCAGTCACTTCGATTTCTAAAGCTCCTGCCAGTTCTTCAGCTCCAGAAGTTTCTGCAGTTTTCTCCAACTCCATGCAAAACTGCTCGATGTCCATGTCCATGAAGTCCTGCTCCTGAAGCGTCATCTCACTTTGCCTGATGCCTGTCTCTCGAAGTTGAAGCTCAGTTGAGAGTTCATTTGTTTTTTTGTTGTTTTCATTGTTAAAGCTGGTTTCTTGGGCCACTTTAAGCTCCTTGTTGTCCATCATACCGGCTGTCTGGATGTAGAGCTGTTGTTTCAGCTCCTCCAGCTCAGCCCAGTGCCTCCTCTCTGTTTCAAAAGCTGCCTGCTGCAGAACAGCAATCTTCTCCGTCATGGAGTCCTGTTCGGCTCTCAGGATCTGGATGGTCTGTTCCTGTAAGAGTCCATCATGGTGAGCCTGATTTTGCAGCTCACGCTGAAGGGTCTCAACTTCCTGTTTCGCAGCAGTGAGATCAGTTGCATACTGGAATTTCAGTGCTTGGTATGAGGTTCTTGTCTTCTCCTGTTCTTCATGGAGGACCGTGTTTCTTTCAGTCAGTTCCTGGACTTGTGTTGTGAGCCTCTCATTTTCCACAATATGTGCCACCTTCAGCTCCTCGTAATCGACATGAAGATCCTTCTTCTTCTTCTGCCGGCTCGTGTCCCTCACCTTAAGAGCAATTCTGTGTTTGGAGAGGGTCTCCTCTGAGCTGTACTTTTGAAGCATCTGCAGCTCCTTTTTGAGCTCCTTCCCTTTGTTAATGTACACTTCCTTGAGAGCCCTTTGCCTGGTCAGCTTCTGATGAATCACCTCCAACTCCTGGCTGAGCAAGAGTGTTCGGTTCTTCTCTCTCTCCAGCTGTCCAGTGAGCTTCTGTTGAGTCACCTCCAACTCCTGGCTGAGCAAGAGTGTTCGGTTCTTCTCACTCTCCAGCTGTCCAGTGAGCTGAGCCACAGTCCTGCGGAGTGTCTCCATCTCTCTGTCCCTCAAGTAGAAGGGCCTGTTAATCCTGGGTCGGTTTGTTGGTCGCTGCATTGTCTTTGACTGTTTGTAGTCTCAGAGTTCCGCTGCTAAAAGATTTCGATTGTCTCTTTCTTTAAGTGTAGCTACTCGCTGAAAGGTTCAAACGATACCCTGGACAGCTGCTCTACTTCCAGTTAGTAACACGAGATGAAAGCCGTGATGATGTCATAATGATGTCATCACGGAATTGTTCCTTTGATGCCATATTCTCTTGTTGTTTGTTTACATCATGTATTTTTCAAACCTGCTGTTAACCCACATTGATTTGAGCTGTTTTTGTAATCTTAGTTTATTCCTCTGTTACATAGCCCGCGTCGATTTAGCTGAAGTGAGTAATTCGCTTGGGGACGTCGTTAAGGTACATTTACGTTGCTTTAAATGGGTATTAAAGGTATTTTGCTGATGTTACAGCACGGAAAGTGACTTTTAAGCTAAGCTGCTAATGTAAACACAGTATACTCCAAATTTTCACTGCATATTTTTCTGTAGAAGTAGTTTTCCTTGAAGCTTTTGTAATTGCACCATCTTTAAAAAACTAAATAAGTGTTGGATACCAAAACGCATGCTTCTTTATGGAAGTAAATCTGTGCCATCTGATTTTGAAATTGAATTTCTAAAGCTGATTTTTTTTTGCATCAAAATCAGACTTTGAATTTCAAAACTATTGAATTTCAAGCATGCATTTTTATTTCTGACGCTTTTTTTCACAATGATGATATGCATTCAGTGTAAAAAAAAATCAGTCTCTCAAAAAATTTGTTGAGTAAAAATTTACCTTAAAAAAACGTGTAAAAAAAATTCTGTGTCAAAAAATTTAGTGTAAAACAGACTGACTCAACATCCAGGTAACCAGGGAGAGCAATCGATTCCTGGCTCAATCATCCATCGTCCAGCTAATCAATTAAAGCTAGATTGGTCATGTGGCACCGACCCCAGTGGAAGATTGAGAAATCGATTGCTTCTCCCTGATTACGCGGATGTTGAGTCAGTTTGTTTTACACAAAATTTTTTGACACTGAAAAATTTTTTATGTTGAATTTTTTTTTTTACACAGTTTTATTTTAGGTCGAATTTTTACTACACGAATAATTTGAGAGACTGTTTTTTTTTAAACCGAATTTATCATCATTGTGGAAAAAAAATAATGCGTGCTTTGAAATTCAAAGTCTGATTTTGATGCAAAAAAAAATCATTAGATAACCGTCAGCATTGTGAACTCATCCTCTTAACATTCTTTCTCCCTTTTTATGTTATAGTTCAGTCAAAAGAAAAACTGGACCAGCTTTGCTGATTTATGAGTATAACCAGACATTTATGTTTTAGGGTTTTTCATCTCCACTCAGCCATGCCATATCTTAAAACAGCTGCAAAAAACCAGACACGATCATCATTGTTGGATATCAAGTCACGGAAATGTGGACTACGGCACACTGTGTTCTTTGTGAATGGAAATGAATATACAGGAGAGTGGAAAGACAACCAGAAGCATGGTGAGCGGCTTCTTCCACCACAACTCCTTTGGTCACCTAGTTATAACATGTGAAGTACTTGCTATGTAATAGATGACATTTACACTTTTAATGTGTCTTTTAGGAAAGGGAACTCAGGTTTGGAAGGAGTCTGGAATGATTTATGATGGAGAGTGGAAATTCGGAAAACGTGATGGATATGGTACCTACAGTGTGCTTCTCCCTCAAAGGAAGGAGTACTTGAGAAAGTACTGTGGGGAATGGAAGAATGGAAAGAAGCATGTATTGAAATACTATTATTTATATACACTGTAACATCAATAATGCCTGTTGTCTGAGCTTACATTGCCTGTGTCATATATCGCTAATCATTACCTTTCTCTCTAGGGGTATGGGACATACTTCTTCAGTCACTCATCAGTTTATGAGGGGGAGTGGAGTGAGGACGAACGGAGTGGCTGGGGAAGAATGTTCTATGAGAATGGAGACATCTATGAGGGAGAGTGGATGAAGGATAAGAATCATGGAAAAGGCATCATTCAATTTTGTAAGCAGACTTTGCTATCATACATTTTCAGTTAAAATGGATTAGAAATTGAGTGTGACAATGTTTGTAGATCTAACATTTGACTTTTCTCCTTTCTTGAGTGAATGGAAACTGGTATGAAGGCACCTGGAAAAATGGCTTGAAAAATGGAAACGGGAAATTCTATCATTCTGACAAAGGTCAACTTTATGAAGGTTTTTGGGTGGATGGGGTTGCAAAATGTGGAACTCTGTCTGATTTTGGAAGAGATGACGCACCTGCATCGACAAGATACCCAATCCCACAGGTACAACATTTTCATTATGACACAGTCACAGATCCGTTTACAATTCAGCCCTTGTGTGACAAATCAAATAAACATTTGTAATAAAGCTCTTTCTCTTGGCGTAACTGTGAAGAAATGAAGCTTTTCTTTGTTTTTCAAGGTTCAACTGGTCGACATGCAATTGGTTCTAAGGGAAGCCCAGTCAGCCTACCTTACCAGAGTTGAAGAGGGACAAGAGGAAGACCGATAGCAAGTTTCCACTCTGCCGTACATTTACTGCCAAATAATAAAATTGGCATAATTTCATTTTGTGTGTTCATATTTGAATATTTTCAGCTAAATCACTTGTTTGTTATTAGTGAAAAAAAAAATCAGAGAAATGCTTGAAATGGACTGAAAAACAAAGATAAGTGAAATAACACACTGATTTAGTTTACTGCCAAAAAGATGGTTAAATACAATACCTTGCATGACAATAAAAGGTTTACACTAAATTTCATTATCATTGAATAGTTTGCCAAAGCTCTTAGTGAAGCTTCTTGAATATTAGATTATGTTTATAAGGAAAAACCTGATGAAAATGACACTGCTTTGTTACATTACAAACAGAGCAAGGGTACAAAAGCTCATCATGTTACACGCCAGTATAAATGGATCATGCAGCTAAGTTTTAAGTTCCTGTGATTCAATTTCAAGTATGTCTATTTCAACAGAACAAAATTTATAGTGATGCCTAAACCAAAACAAACGAGTTCATTCGCAAAAGGTCAGAAATTTTCTATAATTAAAATGCTGTAACTGCTTGGTAGGGGTCAGTAGGTGTAATTTACAGGATGGTATAGAAAAACCCTTCACAGTGAGTGCCATTCAGGGATGACTTTTTACACAAACCAGTAATGGTTACTCTTTTTGTTTCATTATGAAATCCAAGAGATTTAACCCTGTTTTTTTAAATAGTTATAATGCCATATCTGCCCCACAACTTCCCATTACTTTGACTGAAAACCACTCCTGGACATCATCTACATACAGTCTACATGCACCTCCAGCACAGGCTACTAACCCAGACTGACTCGTCTCTCTAAATATGTGAGAACAAAACATCCTACTATGTAACAGTAATCTTGAAGAAATATCACTGTTACTTAAGTGCACTTCATGTGTCAAGAGTGACTGATAAAAACGACATGCTAACTTAGTGCTTGAAAAACAAAGGGGGCACCAAGGCTTTACAGAATAAAGCACGAGAGCACTGGTGTAGATTATTAACAAGTACAAGCAGTCTCATGTGCTCATGAGACAAAAAATTTCACATTTACTAAATATTCCAGGTGTGATTTGCCCAACCTGTGTCAAAAATTAAAAATATATAGCACAAATAGAGAATATATTTACATATTTCAGGATGCTTTACAAAATGAAAAGTGTTCATTCTTGGAACAAAGCTTGTGCTACAGATGTCAGCATGTATCCTTTAATAATACTGGAGTTTTGGCAATCAGTCTACACAAATGGCAGTCCTTACATTCATGAAGTGAACTTTACAATAAACCAGGTATATAGTCAACAAAAAGAGGTTAAATACTTTCTGTTTGCACAGCCAGGTAATTTATGTGTCAACAGAAAAACTATAGTAGACAAACAGGTTAATAAATAGCAGGCAACAGACAGGATTCAAGTTATTGTTCAGATGTTTTTTTTTTGTGAGTGCTATAAATTAAGTGAGAAATCAAACAGCTGTCACAGTTAAGACTTCAAATTTAAGTTACATGCGTAATGGCAAATTTGTGAGTTCACAGTTTATCAAACGTGTTCTAAAAATACAACTCTTTACATAAAAGAACAATTTCACAACAAAAAGGTGATACATCTGTAAAAACAGAAGCCAAAATGCCGCTTCTAACTTGAGAGAAATCTCAGGAAATCAGAGTTCCACCATGAGTCCAACATACTTGTTGTCTAAGGGAAATTTGAGCTAGGAGACTGCAGGATAGAAGATTCGCCCCTGTTGTCCAGCTCATTCTGTAGCCTGGTGAGATTAGAAAGCTCCTCCAGCTCCTGAAACTGTCTGTCCGTCTTGTGGCTGACCAGTGAGCGGTAGAAATGCACAGCAAAGACTATGAAGACTAAACCAAAGGGAACCATGATGGAGGTGGACGTGATCGCAGCAGCCACACCGGACGAAACTGTGCTGTTGCTGGACTTGTTAGGGCCCGAGCCAGCTGCAGAGCAGCCGGGCGTAGAGTCCTATTATTCCTGTATGGGTTCTTCTTTCTTTAGGGCCCGAGCGTAGCTGCTAAGCAGCTGCGAGAGCCCTCTTGTTCCTGTAGTTTCCTTCTTTTGTTATTATTAGGGCCCGAGCCAGCTGCAGAGCAGCCGGGCGTAGAGCCCTATTATTCCTGATGAGTTTTTCTTTCTTCTTTCTTTAGGGCCCGAGCGTAGCTGCTAAGCAGCTGCGAGAGCCCTCTTGTTCCTGATGGATTCTTCTTTAGGGCCCGAGCGTAGCTGCTAAGCAGCTGCGAGAGCCCTCTTGTTCCTGTAGTTTCCTTCTTTTGTTATTATTATTATTAGGGCCCGAGCGTAGCTGCTAAGCAGCTGCGAGAGCCCTATTATTCCTGATGGATTCTTCTTTCTTCTTCTTCTTATTATTATTTTTCTGCCCCTTTGAACTGGAAAATGGCCCACTTCCCACTGGTGAAAAGTCATGAAATTTGGCAAGACGACCGGGCCTGGTGAAAAATTTGATATTCTGAAGTCGCCCAAAAAATCAAATGCAAAATGGCTCCATAGCGCCCCCTAAGGTGAAAAATTCACATGATTGAGTGTCACGCCTGTACGCTTTGTCAAAATGACACAAAATTTGACACACACGTGTATCTCAATAAGATCTACAAAAAAGTCAGTGCGGGCGTATCTGTCAAATGTACGGTTAAAGGTTTATTTCGCATTTTTTGCCGATCCGCACACATTTGAATTTCGCTAACTCCTCCGAAGGTTTTCGTTCCACCGGCACCACATTTGCTCAGGCCAATCTACACCCCATGGCCAATAAAAGTTGTACAAATCATGACGCTGCACCCCACGGTTTACGTTCTAGGGGGCGCCAAAGATAACCCAAAAATCCACAGTCTTAAAAGTCTTATAACTTTTTATTTTTGTCCTCACTGGCCTCCAAGTTCTCTAGGATGATGCAATGTCCAGCCATCAACACATTTGTGAAGGAATTTTTACTCGCCAAAAGAGCGCCCCCCATGGCAGGAGAAAAATGTCCATTTTTTCTTGTCTCCTAAGGCGAAAATACACATTGTTGACTGTCACGCCTTTACGCTTTGTCAAAATGACACAAAATTTGACACACACATGTATCTCAATAAGATCTACAAAAAAGTCAGTGCGGGCATATCTGTCAAATGTACGGTTAAAGGGTTATTTCGCATTTTTTGCCGATCCGCACACATTGGAATTTCGCTAACTCCTCCGAAGGCTTTCATTCCAACGGCACCACATTTGCTCAGGCCAATCTACACCCCATGGCCATTAAAAGTTGTACAAATCATGACGCTGCACCCCACGGTTTACGTTCTAGGGGGCGCCAAAGATAACCCAAAAATCCACAGTCTTAAAAGTCTTATAACTTTTTATTTTTGTCCTCACTGGCCTCCAAGTTCTCTAGGATGATGCAATGTCCAGCCATCAACACATTTGTGAAGGAATTTTTACTCGCCAAAAGAGCGCCCCCCATGGCAGGAGAAAAAAGTCCATTTTTTCTTGTCTCCTAAGGCGAAAATACACATTGTTGACTGTCACGCCTTTACGCTTTGTCAAAATGACACAAAATTTGACACACACATGTATCTCAATAAGATCTACGAAAAAGTCAATGCGAGCGTATCTGTTCAATGTACGGTTAAAGGGCTATTTCGCATTTTTTGCCGATTCGCACACATTGGAATGTGGCTAACTCCTCCTAAAGCTTTTGTCCCATCGGCTTCAAATTTGCTCAGGTCAATCTACACCCCATGGCCATTCAAAGTTGTACAAATCATGATGCTGCACCCCACGGTTTACGTTCTAGGGGGTGCCAAAGAGGACCCAAATATCCACATTTTTAAAAGTCTTATAACTTTTTATTTTTGTCCTCACTGGCCTCCAAGTTTTCTAGGATGATGCAATGTCCAGCCATCAACACATTTGTGAAGGAATTTTTTCTCCCCAAAAGAGCGCCCCCCCATGGCAGGAGAAAAAGTCAAGTTTTTCCTGCCCATCGCTCAATGGCTCAAACGCATCGCTCTCTCGGCAAAACCGAAAGGAGGAGCAACTTGCCATTTGGATATATCCTAGCTGTGTTTATGCCCTCACTCATGGTCCAGACTTTTTTCAAAAAGGACATGGAGTTTGTCTGCAGCGAGCATTTTGGTAGAAACTGCGCCTCCCATTCATTATAATGGTAAATGACCACAGACGAGTGCGCACACCATCTTTGGACCTTGAGTGTGACGCGATCAAGAGGGGTAGGCGGTCGCGCTGGGGGCGGCGCGACACGGCTCGGGCCCGCCAGTGCCCCAACGGGGCCCTAGTTATTTTTCCTCCCCTTTGAACTGGAAAATGGCCCACTTCCCACTGGCGAAAACTCATGAAATTTGGCAGGACGACCGGGCCTGGTGAAAAATTTGATATTCCGAAGTCGCCCAAACAAGAAAATGCAAAATGGCTCCATAGCGCCCCCTAAGGTGAAAATTCACACTGTTCACTGTCACGCCTGTACGCTTTGTCAAAATGACACAAAAATTGACACACACATGTATCTCAATAAGATCTACAAAAAAGTCAGTGCGGGCGTATCTGTCAAATGTACGGTTAAAGGGTTATTTCGCATTTTTTGCCGATCCGCACACATTGGAATTTCGCTAACTCCTCCGAAGGCTTTCGTTCCACCGGCACCACATTTGCTCAGGCCAATCTACACCCCATGGCCATTAAAAGTTATTCAAATCATGACGCTGCACCCCACGGTTTAGGTTCTAGGGGGCGCCAAAGATAACCCTAAGATCCACATATTTAAAAGTCTTATAACTTTTTATTTTTGCCCTCACTGGCCTCCAAGTTTTCTAGGATGATGCAATGTCCAGCCATCAACACATTTGTGAAGGAATTTTTACTCCCAAAGAGCGCCCCCCATGGCAGGAGAAAAAAGTCCATTTTTTCTTGTCCCCTAAGGTGAAAATACACATTGTTGAGTGTAACACCTGTACGCTTTGGCAAAATGACACAAAAATTGACACACACATGTATCTCAATAAGATCTACGAAAAAGTCAATGCGCGCGTATCTGTCAAATGTACGGTTAAAGGGTTATTCCGCATTTTTTGCCGATCCGCACACATTGGAATTTCGCTAACTCCTCCGAAGGCTTTCGTTCCACCGGCACCACATTTGCTCAGGCCAATCTACACCCCATGGCCATTAAAAGTTATTCAAATCATGACGCTGCACCCCACGGTTTACGTTCTAGGGGGCGCCAAAGATGACCCAAAAATCCACATTCTTAAAAGAATCCACATCCCCCCCTATGGCAGGAGAAAAAGTCAAGTTTTTCCTGCCCATCGCTCAATGGCTCAATCGCATCGCTCTCCAGGCAACACCGTAAGGAGGAGCAACCTGGCATTTCGATATATCATAGCTGTGTTTGTGCCCTCACTCATAGTCCAGACTTTTTTCAAATAGGACATGAAGTTTGTCTGCAGCGAGTGTTTTGGTAGAAACTGCGCCTCCCATTCATTATAATGGGAAATGACCACAGACAAGTGCGCACACCATCTTTGGTTCTTGAGTGTGACTCGATCGGGACGGGGAGGCGGTCGCACTGGGGGCGGCGCGACGCGGCTCGGGCCCGACAGTGCCCCACCGGGGCCCTAGTTTGTTATTATTATTATTTTTCCTCCGCTTTAAACTGGAAAATGGCCGACTTCCCACTGGCGAAAACTCATGAAATTTGGCAGGACGACCGGGCCTGGTGAAAAATTCGATATTCTGAAGTCGCCCAAACAATAAAATGCAAAATGGCTCCATAGCGCCCCCTAAGGCGAAAATTCACACTATTGACTGTCACGCCTGTACGCTTTGTCATATTGACACAAAAATTGACACACACGTGTATCTCAATACGTTCTACGAAAAAGTCAGCGCGGGCGCATCTGTGAAATGTACAGTTAGAGGGTTATTTCGCATTTTTTGCCGATCTGCACACATTGGAATTTCGCTAACTCCTCCGAAGGCATTCGTTCCACCGGCACCACATTTGCTCAGGCCAATCTACACCCCATGGCCATTAAAAGTTGTACAAATCATGACGCTGCACCCCACAGTTTACGTTCTAGGGGGCGCCAAAGATAACCCTAAAATCCACAGTCTTAAAAGTCTTATAACTTTTTATTTTTGTCCTCACTGGCCTCCAAGTTCTCTAGGATGATGCAATGTCCAGCCATCAACACATTTGTGAAGGAATTTTTACTCCCCAAAAGAGCGCCCCCACATGGCAGGAGAAAAAAGTCCATTTTTTCTTGTCCCCTAAGTTGAAAAAACACATTGTTGACTGTCACGCCTATACGCTTTGTCAAAATGACACAAAATTTGACAATCACATGTATCTCAATAAGATCTACGAAAAAGTCAATGGGCACGTATCTGTAAAATGTATGGTTAAAGGGTTATTCCGCATTTTTTGCCGATCCGCACACATTGGAATGTCGCTAACTCCTCCGAAGGCTTTAGTTCCACCGGCACCAAATTTGCTCAGGCCAATCTACACCCCATGGCCATTAAAAGTTGTACAAATCATGACGCTGCACTCCACGATTTAGGTTCTAGGGGGCGCCAAAGATAACCCAAAAATCCACATTCTTAATAGTCTTATAACTTTTTATTTTTGTCCTCACTGGCCTCCAAGTTTTCTAGGATGATGCAATGTCCAGCCATCAACACATTTGTAAAGGAATTTTTACTCCCGAAAAGAGCGCCCCCCATAGCAGGAGAAAAAAGTCCATTTTTTCTTGTCCCCTAAGTTGAAAAAACACATTGTTGACTGTCACGCCTATACGCTTTGTCAAAATGACACAAAATTTGACACACACGTGTATCTCAATAAGATCTACGAAAGAGTCAATGGGCACGTATCTGTAAAATGTACGGTTAGAGGGTTATTTCGCATTTTTTGCAGATCTGCACACATTGGAATTTCGCTAACTCCTCCTTAGGCTTTCTTCCCACCGACACCAAATTTGCTCAAGCCGATCTACATCCCATGGCCATTCAAAGTTGTAAAAATCATGACGCTGCACCCAACGGTTTACGTTCTAGGGGGCGCCAAAGATGACCCAAATATCCACATTCTTAAAAGAATCCCCCCCCCCCCCCCCCCCCCCAAGGCAGGAGAAAAAGTCAAGTTAACCCTGCCCATCGCTCAATGGCTCAATCGCATCGCTCTCCGGGCAACACCGTAAGGAGGAGCAACTTGCCATTTGGATATATCCTAGCTGTGTTTGTGCCCTCACTCATGGTCCAGACTTTTTTCAAATAGGACATGTAGTTTGTCTGCAGCCAGCGTTTTGGTAGAAACTGCGCCTCCCATTCATTATAATGGGAAATGACCACAGACAAGTGCGCACACCATCTTTGGACCTTGAGTGTGACGCGATCGGGAGGGGGAGGCGTCGCGCTGGAGGCGGCGCGACGCGGCTCGGGCCCGACAGTGCCCCACCGGGGCCCTAGTTATTATTTTTCCTCCCCTTTGAACTGGAAAATGGCCCACTTCCCACTGGCGAAAACTCATGAAATTTGGCAGGACGACTGGGCCTGGTGAAAAATTTGATATTCCGAAGTCGCCCAAACAAGAAAATGCAAAATGGCTCCATAGCGCCCCCTAAGGTGAAAATTCACACTATTGACTGTCACGCGTGTACGCTTTGTCAAAATGACACAAAAATTGACACACACATGTATCTCAATAAGATCTACAAAAAAGTCAGTGCGGGCGTATCTGTCAAATGTACGGTTAAAGGGTTATTTCGCATTTTTTGCCGATCCGCACACATTGGAATTTCGCTAACTCCTCCGAAGGCTTTCGTTCCAACGGCACCACATTTGCTCAGGCCAATCTACACCCCATGGCCATTAAAAGTTGTACAAATCATGACGCTGCACCCCACGGTTTAGGTTCTAGGGGGCGCCAAAGATAACCCTAAAATCCACAGTCTTAAAAGTCTTATAACTTTTTATTTTTGTCCTCACTGGCCTCCAAGTTCTCTAGGATGATGCAATGTCCAGCCATCAACACATTTGTGAAGGAATTTTTACTCCCCAAAAGAGCGCCCCCACATGGCAGGAGAAAAAAGTCCATTTTTTCTTGTCCCCTAAGTTGAAAAAACACATTGTTAACTGTCACGCCTATACGCTTTGTCAAAATGACACAAAATTTGACACACACGTGTATCTCAATAAGATCTACGAAAAAGTCAATGCGCGCGTATCTGTCAAATGTACGGTTAAAGGGTTATTCCGCATTTTTTGCCGATCCGCACACATTGGAATGTCGCTAACTCCTCCGAAGGCTTTAGTTCCACCGGCACCAAATTTGCTCAGGCCAATCTACACCCCATGGCCATTAAAAGTTGTACAAATCATGACGCTGCACTCCACGATTTAGGTTCTAGGGGGCGCCAAAGATAACCCAAAAATCCACATTCTTAATAGTCTTATAACTTTTTATTTTTGTCCTCACTGGCCTCCAAGTTTTCTAGGATGATGCAATGTCCAGCCATCAACACATTTGTAAAGGAATTTTTACTCCCGAAAAGAGCGCCCCCCATGGCAGGAGAAAAAAGTCCATTTTTTCTTGTCCCCTAAGCTGAAAAAACACATTGTTGACTGTCACGCCTATACGCTTTGTCAAAATGACACAAAATTTGACACACACGTGTATCTCAATAAGATCTACGAAAGAGTCAATGGGCACGTATCTGTAAAATGTACGGTTAGAGGGTTATTTCGCATTTTTTGCAGATCTGCACACATTGGAATTTCGCTAACTCCTCCTTAGGCTTTCTTCCCACCGACACCAAATTTGCTCAAGCCGATCTACATCCCATGGCCATTCAAAGTTGTAAAAATCATGACGCTGCACCCAACGGTTTACGTTCTAGGGGGCGCCAAAGATGACCCAAATATCCACATTCTTAAAAGAATCCACCCCCCCCCCCCCCACCCCCCCCCCTCAAGGCAGGAGAAAAAGTCAAGTTAACCCTGCCCATCGCTCAATGGCTCAATCGCATCGCTCTCCGGGCAACACCGTAAGGAGGAGCAACTTGCCATTTGGATATATCCTAGCTGTGTTTGTGCCCTCACTCATGGTCCAGACTTTTTTCAAATAGGACATGTAGTTTGTCTGCAGCCAGCGTTTTGGTAGAAACTGCGCCTCCCATTCATTATAATGGGAAATGACCACAGACAAGTGCGCACACCATCTTTGGACCTTGAGTGTGACGCGATCGGAGGGGGAGGCGTCGCGCTGGGGGCGGCGCGACGCGGCTCGGGCCCGACAGTGCCCCACCGGGGCCCTAGTTATTATTTTTCCTCCCCTTTGAACTGGAAAATGGCCCACTTCCCACTGGCGAAAACTCATGAAATTTGGCAGGACGACTGGGCCTGGTGAAAAATTTGATATTCCGAAGTCGCCCAAACAAGAAAATGCAAAATGGCTCCATAGCGCCCCCTAAGGTGAAAATTCACACTATTGACTGTCACGCGTGTACGCTTTGTCAAAATGACACAAAAATTGACACACACATGTATCTCAATAAGATCTACAAAAAAGTCAGTGCGGGCGTATCTGTCAAATGTACGGTTAAAGGGTTATTTCGCATTTTTTGCCGATCCGCACACATTGGAATTTCGCTAACTCCTCCGAAGGCTTTCGTTCCACCGGCACCACATTTGCTCAGGCCAATCTACACCCCATGGCCATTAAAAGTTATTCAAATCATGACGCTGCACCCCACGGTTTAGGTTCTAGGGGGCGCCAAAGATAACCCTAAGATCCACATATTTAAAAGTCTTATAACTTTTTATTTTTGTCCTCACTGGCCTCCAAGTTTTCTAGGATGATGCAATGTCCAGCCATCAACATATTTGTGAAGGAATTTTTACTCCCCAAAAGAGCGCCCCCCATGGCAGGAGAAAAAAGTCCATTTTTTCTTGTCCCCTAAGGTGAAAATACACATTGTTGAGTGTAACACCTGTACGCTTTGGCAAAATGACACAAAAATTGACACACACATGTATCTCAATAAGATCTACGAAAAAGTCAATGTGCGCGTATCTGTCAAATGTACGGTTAAAGGGTTATTCCGCATTTTTTGCCGATCCGCACACATTGGAATTTCGCTAACTCCTCCGAAGGCTTTCGTTCCACCGGCACCACATTTGCTCAGGCCAATCTACACCCCATGGCCATTAAAAGTTATTCAAATCATGACGCTGCACCCCACGGTTTAGGTTCTAGGGGGAGCCAAAGATAACCGTAAAATCCACATATTTAAAAGTCTTATAACTTTTTATTTTTGTCCCCACTGGCCTCCAAGTTTTCTAGGATGATGCAATGTCCAGCCATCAACACATTTGTGAAGGAATTTTTACTCGGCAAAAGAGCGCCCCCCCATGGCAGGAGAAAAAAGTCAATTTTTTCTTGTCCACTAAGGTGAAAATACACATTGTTGAGTGCTACGCCTGTATGTTTTGTCGTATTGACACAAAATTTTACATACACGTGTATTTCAATAAGATCTTCGAAAAAGTCAATGGCCACGTATCTGTAAAATGTACGGTTAAAGGGTTATTTCGCATTTTTTGCAGATTCGCACACATTGGAATTTTGCTAATTCCTCCGAAGGCTTTCGTTCCACCGGCACCACATTTGCTCAGGCCAATCTACACCCCATGGCCATTAAAAGTTATTCAAATCATGACGCTGCACCCCACGGTTTAGGTTCTAGGGGTTGCCAAATATAACCCTAAAATCCACATATTTAAAAGTCTTATAACTTTTTATTTTTGTCCTCACTGGCCTCCATGTTTTCTAGGATGATGCAATGTCCAGCCATCAACACATTTGTGAAGGAGTTTTTTCTCTTTAAAAGAGCGCCCCCCATGGCAGGAGAATAAAGTCAAGTTTTTCCTGTTCATCATTCAATGGCTCAAACGCACTGCTCTCTCGGCAAAAGCGAAAGGAGGAGCAACTTGCCATTTGGATATATCTTAGCTGTGTTTGTGCCCTCACTCATGGTCCAGACTATTTTCAAATAGGACATGGAGTTTTTCTGCAGCGAGCGTTTTGGTAGAAACTGCGCCTCCCGTTCATTATAATGGTAAATGACCACAAACAAGTGCGCACACCATCTTTGGACCTTGAGTGTGACGCGATCGGGTGGGGGAGGCGGTCGCGCTGGGGGCGGCGTGACACGGCTCGGGCCCGCCAGTGCCCCAACGGGGCCCTAGTCTTTCTTTCTTTCTTCTTATTTTTCCTCCCCTTTGAAGGGGAAAATGGCCCACTTCCCACTGGCGAAAACTCATGAAATTTGGCAGGACGACCGGGCCTGGTGAAAAATTCGATATTCTGAAGTCGCCGAAAAAATAATATGCAAAATGGCTCCATAGCGCCCCCTAAGGTGAAAATTCACACTATCGAGTGTCACGCCTGTACGCTTTGTCATATTGACACAAAAATTGACACACACATGTATCTCAATAAGATCTACAAAAAAGTCAGGGCGGGCGTATCTGTCAAATGTACGGTTAAAGGGCTATTTCGCATTTTTTGCCGATCCGCACACATTGGAATTTCGCTAACTCCTCCTAAGGCTTTCGTTCCACCGGCACCAAATTTGCTCAGGCCAATCTACACCCCATGGCCATTAAAAGTTGTACAAATCATGACGCTGCACTCCACGATTTAGGTTCTAGGGGGCGCCAAAGATAACCCAAAAATCCACATTCTTAATAGTCTTATAACTTTTTATTTTTGTCCTCACTGGCCTCCAAGTTTTCTAGGATGATGCAATGTCCAGCCATCAACACATTTGTAAAGGAATTTTTACTCCCGAAAAGAGCGCCCCCCCATGGCAGGAGAAAAAGTCCATTTTTTCTTGTCCCCTAAGTTGAAAAAACACATTGTTGACTGTCACGCCTATACGCTTTGTCAAAATGACACAAAATTTTTGACACACACGTGTATCTCAATAAGATCTACGAAAGAGTCAATGGGCACGTATCTGTAAAATGTACGGTTAGAGGGTTATTTCGCATTTTTTGCAGATCTGCACACATTGGAATTTCGCTAACTCCTCCTTAGGCTTTCTTCCCACCGACACCAAATTTGCTCAAGCCGATCTACATCCCATGGCCATTCAAAGTTGTAAAAATCATGACGCTGCACCCAACGGTTTACGTTCTAGGGGGCGCCAAAGATGACCCAAATATCCACATTCTTAAAAGAATCCACCCCCCCCCCCCCCCCCCAAGGCAGGAGAAAAAGTCAAGTTAACCCTGCCCATCGCTCAATGGCTCAATCGCATCGCTCTCCGGGCAACACCGTAAGGAGGAGCAACTTGCCATTTGGATATATCCTAGCTGTGTTTGTGCCCTCACTCATGGTCCAGACTTTTTTCAAATAGGACATGTAGTTTGTCTGCAGCCAGCGTTTTGGTAGAAACTGCGCCTCCCATTCATTATAATGGGAAATGACCACAGACAAGTGCGCACACCATCTTTGGACCTTGAGTGTGACGCGATCGGGAGGGGGAGGCGTCGCGCTGGGGGCGGCGCGACGCGGCTCGGGCCCGACAGTGCCCCACCGGGGCCCTAGTTATTATTTTTCCTCCCCTTTGAACTGGAAAATGGCCCACTTCCCACTGGCGAAAACTCATGAAATTTGGCAGGACGACTGGGCCTGGTGAAAAATTTGATATTCCGAAGTCGCCCAAACAAGAAAATGCAAAATGGCTCCATAGCGCCCCCTAAGGTGAAAATTCACACTATTCACTGTCCGACGGTACGCTTTGTCAAAATGACACAAAAATTGACACACACATGTATCTCAATAAGATCTACAAAAAAGTCAGTGCGGGCGTATCTGTCAAATGTACGGTTAAAGGGTTATTTCGCATTTTTTGCCGATCCGCACACATTGGAATTTCGCTAACTCCTCCGAAGGCTTTCGTTCCACCGGCACCACATTTGCTCAGGCCAATCTACACCCCATGGCCATTAAAAGTTATTCAAATCATGACGCTGCACCCCACGGTTTAGGTTCTAGGGGGCGCCAAAGATAACCCTAAAATCCACATATTTAAAAGTCTTATAACTTTTTATTTTTGTCCTCACTGGCCTCCAAGTTTTCTAGGATGATGCAATGTCCAGCCATCAACATATTTGTGAAGGAATTTTTACTCCCCAAAAGAGCGCCCCCCCATGGCAGGAGAAAAAAGTCCATTTTTTCTTGTCCCCTAAGGTGAAAATACACATTGTTGAGTGTAACACCTGTACGCTTTGGCAAAATGACACAAAAATTGACACACACATGTATCTCAATAAGATCTACGAAAAAGTCAATGCGCGCGTATCTGTCAAATGTACGGTTAAAGGGTTATTCCGCATTTTTTGCCGATCCGCACACATTGGAATTTCGCTAACTCCTCCGAAGGCTTTCGTTCCACCGGCACCACATTTGCTCAGGCCAATCTACACCCCATGGCCATTAAAAGTTATTCAAATCATGACGCTGCACCCCACGGTTTAGGTTCTAGGGGGAGCCAAAGATAACCGTAAAATCCACATATTTAAAAGTCTTATAACTTTTTATTTTTGTCCCCACTGGCCTCCAAGTTTTCTAGGATGATGCAATGTCCAGCCATCAACACATTTGTGAAGGAATTTTTACTCGGCAAAAGAGCGCCCCCCATGGCAGGAGAAAAAAGTCAATTTTTTCTTGTCCACTAAGGTGAAAATACACATTGTTGAGTGCTACGCCTGTATGTTTTGTCGTATTGACACAAAATTTTACATACACGTGTATTTCAATAAGATCTTCGAAAAAGTCAATGGCCACGTATCTGTAAAATGTACGGTTAAAGGGTTATTTCGCATTTTTTGCAGATTCGCACACATTGGAATTTTGCTAATTCCTCCGAAGGCTTTCGTTCCACCGGCACCACATTTGCTCAGGCCAATCTACACCCCATGGCCATTAAAAGTTATTCAAATCATGACGCTGCACCCCACGGTTTAGGTTCTAGGGGTTGCCAAATATAACCCTAAAATCCACATATTTAAAAGTCTTATAACTTTTTATTTTTGTCCTCACTGGCCTCCATGTTTTCTAGGATGATGCAATGTCCAGCCATCAACACATTTGTGAAGGAGTTTTTTCTCTTTAAAAGAGCGCCCCCCCATGGCAGGAGAATAAAGTCAAGTTTTTCCTGTTCATCATTCAATGGCTCAAACGCACTGCTCTCTCGGCAAAAGCGAAAGGAGGAGCAACTTGCCATTTGGATATATCTTAGCTGTGTTTGTGCCCTCACTCATGGTCCAGACTTTTTTCAAATAGGACATGGAGTTTTTCTGCAGCGAGCGTTTTGGTAGAAACTGCGCCTCCCGTTCATTATAATGGTAAATGACCACAAACAAGTGCGCACACCATCTTTGGACCTTGAGTGTGACGCGATCGGGTGGGGGAGGCGGTCGCGCTGGGGGCGGCGTGACACGGCTCGGGCCCGCCAGTGCCCCAACGGGGCCCTAGTCTTTCTTTCTTTCTTCTTATTTTTCCTCCCCTTTGAAGGGGAAAATGGCCCACTTCCCACTGGCGAAAACTCATGAAATTTGGCAGGACGACCGGGCCTGGTGAAAAATTCGATATTCTGAAGTCGCCGAAAAAATAATATGCAAAATGGCTCCATAGCGCCCCCTAAGGTGAAAATTCACACTATCGAGTGTCACGCCTGTACGCTTTGTCATATTGACACAAAAATTGACACACACATGTATCTCAATAAGATCTACAAAAAAGTCAGGGCGGGCGTATCTGTCAAATGTACGGTTAAAGGGCTATTTCGCATTTTTTGCCGATCCGCACACATTGGAATTTCGCTAACTCCTCCGAAGGCTTTCGTTCCACCGGCACCACATTTGCTCAGGCCAATCTACACCCCATGGCCATTAAAAGTTATTCAAATCATGACGCTGCACCCCACGGTTTAGGTTCTAGGGGGCGCCAAAAATAACCCTAAAATCCACATATTTAAAAGTCTTATAACTTTTTATTTTTGCCCTCACTGGCCTCCAAGTTTTCTAGGATGATGCAATGTCCAGCCATCAACACATTTGTGAAGGAATTTTTACTCCCCAAAAGAGCGCCCCCCATGGCAGGAGAAAAAGTCAAGTTTTTCCTGCCCATCGCTCAATGGCTCAAACGCATCGCTCTCTCGGCAAAACCGAAAGGAGGAGCAACTTGCCATTTGGATATATACTAGCTGTGTTTGTGCCCTCACTCATGGTCCAGACTTTTTTCAAAAAGGACATGGAGTTTGTCTGCAGCGAGCGTTTTGGTAGAAACTGCGCCTCCCATTCATTATAATGGTAAATGACCACAGACAAGTGCGCGCACCATCTTTGGACCTTGAGTGTGACGCAATCGGGAGGGGTAGGCAGTCGCGCTGGGGGCGGCGTGACACGGCTCGGGCCCGCCAGTGCCCCACCGGGGCCCTAGTTTTCTCTTTTTTCTGCCTGTTTTAAGGGTTTTCGACCTAGGCTCCCTCTCACCCTACCTTAAAGAGGTCGTCACTAATCTGGGAGTTAAATTTGACCCTGATTTTAAATTTGACAAGCAGATCAGCGGGGTGGTACAAAAAAGTTTTTATCAGCTACGCCAAATAGCGAAGGTGAAGCCCATTTTATCAAGACCTGACCTGGAAAAATTAATCCATGCTTTTATCACTACCCGTCTTGATTACTGCAACTCCTTGTACGTAGGGATTAGCCAGGCTTCCCTTGCCCGCCTGCAGCTTATGCAGAACTCTGCTGCACGTCTCCTGACACAGACCCGCAGGCGTGAGCACATCACCCCCATCCTGGCGTCCTTACACTGGCTCCCTGTTCAGTACAGAATTCATTTTAAGCTTTTAGCATTTGTTTTTAAGGGCCTGAACAACCTTGCTCCACCCTATATTTCGGAGATGCTACAGCCTTATTGCCCACCCCGACCCCTAAGATCAGCTGATCAGCTTTTACTGACCGTCCCCAGTACAAGGCTGAAGCTCAGAGGGGACAGAGCATTTGCCGCTGCTGCCCCTAAGCTCTGGAATGAGTTGCCCTTGAAAATTAGACAGGCCTCCTCATTTTCTGTTTTTAAATCCCTTTTAAAAACGTACTTTTACTCATTGGCTTTTAGTACATTGTAGTGTTAATTTGTTTTTTATCATCTTAGCACTTGCCGTGAGCCTCCTTATTTATACACTTATTTATTCTTTTGCATTACTGTATTTCTGCTTGCTTTATCTGGTTCTTTGATTGTTTTATTTGTTTTTATGTGTCACTGTACAGCACTTTGGCTACCCTTGTGGTTCTTTTAAATGTGCTATAGAAATAAAGTTGATTGATTGATTGATTTTTTTTTTTTTTGGTTTTCTTTATTTTTTTTTTGAGATCTCTTTTTGAAGAGTTTTTTTTTTTTTTAAAGTACTTCCTTACTTCGAGGAAGTTACTTCTTCTTCCACTTCTCAGGCTTTCTTAACCCCAAGAAGTGTCTTGTTTGTTTCCAGACTGAAGAAGGTGGTTTGGTGGCATTAGAGGTTGGTGTCTCTGCTGGTCCTGCTGTTCCAACTAGTTCTGGAGATCCAGCAGTCACTTCGATTTCTAAAGCTCCTGCCAGTTCTTCAGCTCCAGAAGTTTCTGCAGTTTTCTCCAACTCCATGCAAAACTGCTCGATGTCCATGTCCATGAAGTCCTGCTCCTGAAGCGTCATCTCACTTTGCCTGATGCCTGTCTCTCGAAGTTGAAGCTCAGTTGAGAGTTCATTTGTTTTTTTGTTGTTTTCATTGTTAAAGCTGGTTTCTTGGGCCACTTTAAGCTCCTTGTTGTCCATCATACCGGCTGTCTGGATGTAGAGCTGTTGTTTCAGCTCCTCCAGCTCAGCCCAGTGCCTCCTCTCTGTTTCAAAAGCTGCCTGCTGCAGAACAGCAATCTTCTCCGTCATGGAGTCCTGTTCGGCTCTCAGGATCTGGATGGTCTGTTCCTGTAAGAGTCCATCATGGTGAGCCTGATTTTGCAGCTCACGCTGAAGGGTCTCAACTTCCTGTTTCGCAGCAGTGAGATCAGTTGCATACTGGAATTTCAGTGCTTGGTATGAGGTTCTTGTCTTCTCCTGTTCTTCATGGAGGACCGTGTTTCTTTCAGTCAGTTCCTGGACTTGTGTTGTGAGCCTCTCATTTTCCACAATATGTGCCACCTTCAGCTCCTCGTAATCGACATGAAGATCCTTCTTCTTCTTCTGCCGGCTCGTGTCCCTCACCTTAAGAGCAATTCTGTGTTTGGAGAGGGTCTCCTCTGAGCTGTACTTTTGAAGCATCTGCAGCTCCTTTTTGAGCTCCTTCCCTTTGTTAATGTACACTTCCTTGAGAGCCCTTTGCCTGGTCAGCTTCTGATGAATCACCTCCAACTCCTGGCTGAGCAAGAGTGTTCGGTTCTTCTCTCTCTCCAGCTGTCCAGTGAGCTTCTGTTGAGTCACCTCCAACTCCTGGCTGAGCAAGAGTGTTCGGTTCTTCTCACTCTCCAGCTGTCCAGTGAGCTGAGCCACAGTCCTGCGGAGTGTCTCCATCTCTCTGTCCCTCAAGTAGAAGGGCCTGTTAATCCTGGGTCGGTTTGTTGGTCGCTGCATTGTCTTTGACTGTTTGTAGTCTCAGAGTTCCGCTGCTAAAAGATTTCGATTGTCTCTTTCTTTAAGTGTAGCTACTCGCTGAAAGGTTCAAACGATACCCTGGACAGCTGCTCTACTTCCAGTTAGTAACACGAGATGAAAGCCGTGATGATGTCATAATGATGTCATCACGGAATTGTTCCTTTGATGCCATATTCTCTTGTTGTTTGTTTACATCATGTATTTTTCAAACCTGCTGTTAACCCACATTGATTTGAGCTGTTTTTGTAATCTTAGTTTATTCCTCTGTTACATAGCCCGCGTCGATTTAGCTGAAGTGAGTAATTCGCTTGGGGACGTCGTTAAGGTACATTTACGTTGCTTTAAATGGGTATTAAAGGTATTTTGCTGATGTTACAGCACGGAAAGTGACTTTTAAGCTAAGCTGCTAATGTAAACACAGTATACTCCAAATTTTCACTGCATATTTTTCTGTAGAAGTAGTTTTCCTTGAAGCTTTTGTAATTGCACCATCTTTAAAAAACTAAATAAGTGTTGGATACCAAAACGCATGCTTCTTTATGGAAGTAAATCTGTGCCATCTGATTTTGAAATTGAATTTCTAAAGCTGATTTTTTTTTGCATCAAAATCAGACTTTGAATTTCAAAACTATTGAATTTCAAGCATGCATTTTTATTTCTGACGCTTTTTTTCACAATGATGATATGCATTCAGTGTAAAAAAAAATCAGTCTCTCAAAAAATTTGTTGAGTAAAAATTTACCTTAAAAAAACGTGTAAAAAAAATTCTGTGTCAAAAAATTTAGTGTAAAACAGACTGACTCAACATCCAGGTAACCAGGGAGAGCAATCGATTCCTGGCTCAATCATCCATCGTCCAGCTAATCAATTAAAGCTAGATTGGTCATGTGGCACCGACCCCAGTGGAAGATTGAGAAATCGATTGCTTCTCCCTGATTACGCGGATGTTGAGTCAGTTTGTTTTACACAAAATTTTTTGACACTGAAAAATTTTTTATGTTGAATTTTTTTTTTACACAGTTTTATTTTAGGTCGAATTTTTACTACACGAATAATTTGAGAGACTGTTTTTTTTTAAACCGAATTTATCATCATTGTGGAAAAAAAATAATGCGTGCTTTGAAATTCAAAGTCTGATTTTGATGCAAAAAAAAATCATTAGATAACCGTCAGCATTGTGAACTCATCCTCTTAACATTCTTTCTCCCTTTTTATGTTATAGTTCAGTCAAAAGAAAAACTGGACCAGCTTTGCTGATTTATGAGTATAACCAGACATTTATGTTTTAGGGTTTTTCATCTCCACTCAGCCATGCCATATCTTAAAACAGCTGCAAAAAACCAGACACGATCATCATTGTTGGATATCAAGTCACGGAAATGTGGACTACGGCACACTGTGTTCTTTGTGAATGGAAATGAATATACAGGAGAGTGGAAAGACAACCAGAAGCATGGTGAGCGGCTTCTTCCACCACAACTCCTTTGGTCACCTAGTTATAACATGTGAAGTACTTGCTATGTAATAGATGACATTTACACTTTTAATGTGTCTTTTAGGAAAGGGAACTCAGGTTTGGAAGGAGTCTGGAATGATTTATGATGGAGAGTGGAAATTCGGAAAACGTAATGGATATGGTACCTACAGTGTGCTTCTCCCTCAAAGGAAGGAGTACTTGAGAAAGTACTGTGGGGAATGGAAGAATGGAAAGAAGCATGTATTGAAATACTATTATTTATATACACTGTAACATCAATAATGCCTGTTGTCTGAGCTTACATTGCCTGTGTCATATATCGCTAATCATTACCTTTCTCTCTAGGGGTATGGGACATACTTCTTCAGTCACTCATCAGTTTATGAGGGGGAGTGGAGTGAGGACGAACGGAGTGGCTGGGGAAGAATGTTCTATGAGAATGGAGACATCTATGAGGGAGAGTGGATGAAGGATAAGAATCATGGAAAAGGCATCATTCAATTTTGTAAGCAGACTTTGCTATCATACATTTTCAGTTAAAATGGATTAGAAATTGAGTGTGACAATGTTTGTAGATCTAACATTTGACTTTTCTCCTTTCTTGAGTGAATGGAAACTGGTATGAAGGCACCTGGAAAAATGGCTTGAAAAATGGAAACGGGAAATTCTATCATTCTGACAAAGGTCAACTTTATGAAGGTTTTTGGGTGGATGGGGTTGCAAAATGTGGAACTCTGTCTGATTTTGGAAGAGATGACGCACCTGCATCGACAAGATACCCAATCCCACAGGTACAACATTTTCATTATGACACAGTCACAGATCCGTTTACAATTCAGCCCTTGTGTGACAAATCAAATAAACATTTGTAATAAAGCTCTTTCTCTTGGCGTAACTGTGAAGAAATGAAGCTTTTCTTTGTTTTTCAAGGTTCAACTGGTCGACATGCAATTGGTTCTAAGGGAAGCCCAGTCAGCCTACCTTACCAGAGTTGAAGAGGGACAAGAGGAAGACCGATAGCAAGTTTCCACTCTGCCGTACATTTACTGCCAAATAATAAAATTGGCATAATTTCATTTTGTGTGTTCATATTTGAATATTTTCAGCTAAATCACTTGTTTGTTATTAGTGAAAAAAAAAATCAGAGAAATACTTGAAATGGACTGAAAAACAAAGATAAGTGAAATAACACACTGATTTAGTTTACTGCCAAAAAGATGGTTAAATACAATACCTTGCATGACAATAAAAGGTTTACACTAAATTTCATTATCATTGAATAGTTTGCCAAAGCTCTTAGTGAAGCTTCTTGAATATTAGATTATGTTTATAAGGAAAAACCTGATGAAAATGACACTGCTTTGTTACATTACAAACAGAGCAAGGGTACAAAAGCTCATCATGTTACACGCCAGTATAAATGGATCATGCAGCTAAGTTTTAAGTTCCTGTGATTCAATTTCAAGTATGTCTATTTCAACAGAACAAAATTTATAGTGATGCCTAAACCAAAACAAACGAGTTCATTCGCAAAAGGTCAGAAATTTTCTATAATTAAAATGCTGTAACTGCTTGGTAGGGGTCAGTAGGTGTAATTTACAGGATGGTATAGAAAAACCCTTCACAGTGAGTGCCATTCAGGGATGACTTTTTACACAAACCAGTAATGGTTACTCTTTTTGTTTCATTATGAAATCCAAGAGATTTAACCCTGTTTTTTTAAATAGTTATAATGCCATATCTGCCCCACAACTTCCCATTACTTTGACTGAAAACCACTCCTGGACATCATCTACATACAGTCTACATGCACCTCCAGCACAGGCTACTAACCCAGACTGACTCGTCTCTCTAAATATGTGAGAACAAAACATCCTACTATGTAACAGTAATCTTGAAGAAATATCACTGTTACTTAAGTGCACTTCATGTGTCAAGAGTGACTGATAAAAACGACATGCTAACTTAGTGCTTGAAAAACAAAGGGGGCACCAAGGCTTTACAGAATAAAGCACGAGAGCACTGGTGTAGATTATTAACAAGTACAAGCAGTCTCATGTGCTCATGAGACAAAAAATTTCACATTTACTAAATATTCCAGGTGTGATTTGCCCAACCTGTGTCAAAAATTAAAAATATATAGCACAAATAGAGAATATATTTACATATTTCAGGATGCTTTACAAAATGAAAAGTGTTCATTCTTGGAACAAAGCTTGTGCTACAGATGTCAGCATGTATCCTTTAATAATACTGGAGTTTTGGCAATCAGTCTACACAAATGGCAGTCCTTACATTCATGAAGTGAACTTTACAATAAACCAGGTATATAGTCAACAAAAAGAGGTTAAATACTTTCTGTTTGCACAGCCAGGTAATTTATGTGTCAACAGAAAAACTATAGTAGACAAACAGGTTAATAAATAGCAGGCAACAGACAGGATTCAAGTTATTGTTCAGATGTTTTTTTTTTGTGAGTGCTATAAATTAAGTGAGAAATCAAACAGCTGTCACAGTTAAGACTTCAAATTTAAGTTACATGCGTAATGGCAAATTTGTGAGTTCACAGTTTATCAAACGTGTTCTAAAAATACAACTCTTTACATAAAAGAACAATTTCACAACAAAAAGGTGATACATCTGTAAAAACAGAAGCCAAAATGCCGCTTCTAACTTGAGAGAAATCTCAGGAAATCAGAGTTCCACCATGAGTCCAACATACTTGTTGTCTAAGGGAAATTTGAGCTAGGAGACTGCAGGATAGAAGATTCGCCCCTGTTGTCCAGCTCATTCTGTAGCCTGGTGAGATTAGAAAGCTCCTCCAGCTCCTGAAACTGTCTGTCCGTCTTGTGGCTGACCAGTGAGCGGTAGAAATGCACAGCAAAGACTATGAAGACTAAACCAAAGGGAACCATGATGGAGGTGGACGTGATCGCAGCAGCCACACCGGACGAAACTGTGCTGTTGCTGGACTTGTTAGGGCCCGAGCCAGCTGCAGAGCAGCCGGGCGTAGAGTCCTATTATTCCTGTATGGGTTCTTCTTTCTTCTTTCTTTCTTTCTTCTTATTTTTCCTCCCCTTTGAAGGGGAAAATGGCCCACTTCCCACTGGCGAAAACTCATGAAATTTGGCAGGACGACCGGGCCTGGTGAAAAATTCGATATTCTGAAGTCGCCGAAAAAATAATATGCAAAATGGCTCCATAGCGCCCCCTAAGGTGAAAATTCACACTATCGAGTGTCACGCCTGTACGCTTTGTCATATTGACACAAAAATTGACACACACATGTATCTCAATAAGATCTACAAAAAAGTCAGGGCGGGCGTATCTGTCAAATGTACGGTTAAAGGGCTATTTCGCATTTTTTGCCGATCCGCACACATTGGAATTTCGCTAACTCCTCCTAAGGCTTTCGTTCCACCGGCACCACATTTGCTCAGGCCAATCTACACCCCATGGCCATTAAAAGTTATTCAAATCATGACGCTGCACCCCACGGTTTAGGTTCTAGGGGGCGCCAAAAATAACCCTAAAATCCACATATTTAAAAGTCTTATAACTTTTTATTTTTGCCCTCACTGGCCTCCAAGTTTTCTAGGATGATGCAATGTCCAGCCATCAACACATTTGTGAAGGAATTTTTACTCCCCAAAAGAGCGCCCCCCATGGCAGGAGAAAAAGTCAAGTTTTTCCTGCCCATCGCTCAATGGCTCAAACGCATCGCTCTCTCGGCAAAACCGAAAGGAGGAGCAACTTGCCATTTGGATATATACTAGCTGTGTTTGTGCCCTCACTCATGGTCCAGACTTTTTTCAAAAAGGACATGGAGTTTGTCTGCAGCGAGCGTTTTGGTAGAAACTGCGCCTCCCATTCATTATAATGGTAAATGACCACAGACAAGTGCGCGCACCATCTTTGGACCTTGAGTGTGACGCAATCGGGAGGGGTAGGCAGTCGCGCTGGGGGCGGCGTGACACGGCTCGGGCCCGCCAGTGCCCCACCGGGGCCCTAGTTTTCTCTTTTTTCTGCCTGTTTTAAGGGTTTTCGACCTAGGCTCCCTCTCACCCTACCTTAAAGAGGTCGTCACTAATCTGGGAGTTAAATTTGACCCTGATTTTAAATTTGACAAGCAGATCAGCGGGGTGGTACAAAAAAGTTTTTATCAGCTACGCCAAATAGCGAAGGTGAAGCCCATTTTATCAAGACCTGACCTGGAAAAATTAATCCATGCTTTTATCACTACCCGTCTTGATTACTGCAACTCCTTGTACGTAGGGATTAGCCAGGCTTCCCTTGCCCGCCTGCAGCTTATGCAGAACTCTGCTGCACGTCTCCTGACACAGACCCGCAGGCGTGAGCACATCACCCCCATCCTGGCGTCCTTACACTGGCTCCCTGTTCAGTACAGAATTCATTTTAAGCTTTTAGCATTTGTTTTTAAGGGCCTGAACAACCTTGCTCCACCCTATATTTCGGAGATGCTACAGCCTTATTGCCCACCCCGACCCCTAAGATCAGCTGATCAGCTTTTACTGACCGTCCCCAGTACAAGGCTGAAGCTCAGAGGGGACAGAGCATTTGCCGCTGCTGCCCCTAAGCTCTGGAATGAGTTGCCCTTGAAAATTAGACAGGCCTCCTCATTTTCTGTTTTTAAATCCCTTTTAAAAACGTACTTTTACTCATTGGCTTTTAGTACATTGTAGTGTTAATTTGTTTTTTATCATCTTAGCACTTGCCGTGAGCCTCCTTATTTATACACTTATTTATTCTTTTGCATTACTGTATTTCTGCTTGCTTTATCTGGTTCTTTGATTGTTTTATTTGTTTTTATGTGTCACTGTACAGCACTTTGGCTACCCTTGTGGTTCTTTTAAATGTGCTATAGAAATAAAGTTGATTGATTGATTGATTTTTTTTTTTTTTGGTTTTCTTTCTTTATTTTTTTTTTTGAGATCTCTTTTTGAAGAGTTTTTTTTTTTTTTTAAAGTACTTCCTTACTTCGAGGAAGTTACTTCTTCTTCCACTTCTCAGGCTTTCTTAACCCCAAGAAGTGTCTTGTTTGTTTCCAGACTGAAGAAGGTGGTTTGGTGGCATTAGAGGTTGGTGTCTCTGCTGGTCCTGCTGTTCCAACTAGTTCTGGAGATCCAGCAGTCACTTCGATTTCTAAAGCTCCTGCCAGTTCTTCAGCTCCAGAAGTTTCTGCAGTTTTCTCCAACTCCATGCAAAACTGCTCGATGTCCATGTCCATGAAGTCCTGCTCCTGAAGCGTCATCTCACTTTGCCTGATGCCTGTCTCTCGAAGTTGAAGCTCAGTTGAGAGTTCATTTGTTTTTTTGTTGTTTTCATTGTTAAAGCTGGTTTCTTGGGCCACTTTAAGCTCCTTGTTGTCCATCATACCGGCTGTCTGGATGTAGAGCTGTTGTTTCAGCTCCTCCAGCTCAGCCCAGTGCCTCCTCTCTGTTTCAAAAGCTGCCTGCTGCAGAACAGCAATCTTCTCCGTCATGGAGTCCTGTTCGGCTCTCAGGATCTGGATGGTCTGTTCCTGTAAGAGTCCATCATGGTGAGCCTGATTTTGCAGCTCACGCTGAAGGGTCTCAACTTCCTGTTTCGCAGCAGTGAGATCAGTTGCATACTGGAATTTCAGTGCTTGGTATGAGGTTCTTGTCTTCTCCTGTTCTTCATGGAGGACCGTGTTTCTTTCAGTCAGTTCCTGGACTTGTGTTGTGAGCCTCTCATTTTCCACAATATGTGCCACCTTCAGCTCCTCGTAATCGACATGAAGATCCTTCTTCTTCTTCTGCCGGCTCGTGTCCCTCACCTTAAGAGCAATTCTGTGTTTGGAGAGGGTCTCCTCTGAGCTGTACTTTTGAAGCATCTGCAGCTCCTTTTTGAGCTCCTTCCCTTTGTTAATGTACACTTCCTTGAGAGCCCTTTGCCTGGTCAGCTTCTGATGAATCACCTCCAACTCCTGGCTGAGCAAGAGTGTTCGGTTCTTCTCTCTCTCCAGCTGTCCAGTGAGC